CCTTAATAAGTTTTACGATTAAATTGTTAAATTTTTTTTGAAAAAAAAAATGACACGTGTCAACACCTAATGAGTGACGCCTAAATTAGGCGTGATTGCCCTCTCGAGTAACGTCCAATTTAGGCGTGATTAATGACGCCCAAATTAGGCGTGATATTGTGCAATAAATGTGTAATTATTTCCAAAACTGCCATAAATTCATAATTTTTTATTTAAAAAACAATAAATTAATTTTTTTGCCCTTGATTAAGTTATACATCATTTTGATGTATTAAAGAGTTATGCTGTATAATATTATACTATATTCATACCAAACAACTTAAAATATCGTAACATATCATATAAGCTCATACTATCAGGTCTTATATATCACACCAAACAAGCCCTTACTGTAGATCAATTCCTTAAGAGTTATTTACCCACATATCTGGTCTTCAGATTGGAACAATTACATTTGATTCAAAATTTGAAGACAAATTGAACAAATTATAAACTTACATCTGACTGGAGGCATATTGGAGGTTATTTGAATTTTGAATTTTGAATTTAAATGTAATAGGAGTTGATTGCGAGCTGATTGTGTTTTGTATTTAATAGGAGCTGATTGCGAGCTGATTGTGTTTTGTATTTAATAGGAGCTGATTGCATTTGATGAGGAGTTGCCATTTTACAAGTTGGTTACATATTGTCACCAATTATTGGAGGTTATTTGAATTTTGAATTTAAATGTAATAGGAGTTGATTGCGAGCTGATTGTGTTTTGTATTTAATAGGAGCTGATTGCATTTGATTAGGAGTTGCCATTTTACGAGTTGGTTACAGATTGTCAAAATTCAAATAACCTCCAAAAAGGCAGACTGCGAAAACTTTGGAGTTGTCACATTAATACGATGTTTAAATAATGGATAGTGAATATAATGACCCTAACTGGTAAATCTTAGTTAGAGATTTAATTTAAGGATTTAAATGCCATAATTAGATTCAGTGAGCGATTTCGAGTATTTTGACTGTAATCATGACTATGTTATGAACAGTGCGTTCTGCCGGAGAATTTACAGTTTTGTGAATTAACCGGTAGAGCTTAAAAAGAGCAAAATAATTTTAGAGACATAATTTGATAATTCTGACGACAAATATGAGTTCAGAACGAAAAATTGTATAGTCTGGCACTTTCCGTGAAAATCTCGTGAATAGTGTTTCTACCGGGTATTTTGTACTGCTGTTTAAGCAACCGGTAGAGTCCAGAAATAAATAATTGATGAAATAAGAATAAGAAAGTCCAATATATGCCAAGCAAGTCAAAATAGGCCCAAGAAAATGATAAGTTTATAAGTTAAGTTCAGAAGTGAGCGAAGTACAGTTAGTGATTCACAGTGCATTTCGTTAAAACGGTGCAGAAACCATACTGTGAATTATGAATATTGTTTAGTAACAAATTAAAATTAATGTAAATGATTTTAGAAAAATAAAAATATCTCCGTAGATATAAGTTAGTTCCGGGTCCGTTAAGTTAAAATACGCGATAGAAAAACATCCGATTGAGAAAGACACATGTGCTTATAACTTAAGTTTCCTTCCAAAAGTTACTATTCACATCAGCTCACCTTCCCTCTCTCTCCTCAAGGCCAAGTCTCTCCTCCATGGAAGGCTAGGTTTTCAAGTTTTCTTTCTCCTTTGATTTCTCCCTCCACACTCAACCAAATCCTTAAGTCCATACACGAAATTCATAGGAAATCAACCAAGGAATCCATTCCACTGCTTTGTTTGGGCTGGTTTTGCTTGTAGAGAGAAATATTCCTCACCCCCAATTCGTGACACTATTCATCATTGTGGAAAAGTGGGGTTTTTGAGTGAGTAAAGCTTGGGTTTTGTTCCTTGGAGCTTGGGTTGGCAACTATAGGTAAGAAACCTCTAACCCTATGGTTATATTTTTGGTGATTTGAGTCTTGTTAATGATGAGCATATTTTGTTGGGAAATAATTGATGTTAGAATGTGAAATTTATGATGGATTATTGTTGTTTAGGAAGTTATAGTGTTGAGTAAGCATCCACATGTGATATAAAAATTTAAAAGCCCTATTGCATCTTCCTCCTAGGTTTCGGCCATCATGGAGTGAGTAGGAGTTATTGTGGAAAAAATTATATTATGTATTGTGAAGGTATAGTGTGTTGGAAATGAGTGAAAATGGATGAGTTAGTAAGAATGCCTAAGTAAAAAGGACTTGGTGTCTAAACTCAAAATAGGAATTTAGTGGAAGCATTCCTAGGTGTTTGCAAGTTGTAATGAAGTAACGAAAATGTATTGTAAAAGAGAAGGATCTTTGGAAATTCCCCTTGTAGGATTCGACCTATAGGGTATTTAGGGATATATTTTGTACATTTTATTTTAAATAAAATGTGTTGTAATAAATTGTATAAAGGTGATGAGTTTTGAAGAAAAATAGCATGATTTATGTTGAAAATTCCTAAGGGAATGGTTGATTAAATTAAAGAACACCAACGGTTATAAAGAGGTCTAGACTTGTGTATTGGCATAGGATTGGCAAAAATGCAAAGAAAGGAAAATAAGCGATAAAATGTATGCTTATGAAATAATTATGGTATTGCATCATTTTATTGATGCATTGTAAATTATTCTCTAGGTGTGCCTAGGGATTGAGAAGGATCGGAAATCTCTTGAAGCGATAAAAGTAACTTGTTCCACAAGTAAGCGTATTGGTAAAGCTTCAAGAGGTAAGCTCTATGTTTAAGGAGTCTTTCCCTGCTTGAGTGCTCCACCATGGTTAGTGAACTATAGTTGGACTGTATGACTGTGATTTAGATGCTTTGTATAGATGCATTCATATAGAGTTATTTGATAACATGATATGTTTTGCTCTGATATGACTTCTGTAATATGATTTCTGTAACAATCTCTGGCCATTGATTGTATAGTACCCGGATGTCCGCTTTGGGGTCCTCCCTCGGGACTGATGGTGTACGCCTCTGATATGTCTGGTTCCGCTTTGGGGTCCTCCCTCGAGAACACGTGCGTTGATTTCCGCTTGGGGTCCTCCCTTGGGAATGACGGCGCACATCTCTGATATGATATGGATATATGCTCTGTTCTGTTATGATATCTGTTATATGTTGTATTTGTATACTCTGTATCTGACTTTCATGCAGGAGTGAGCCAGGGGTATGAAGAATTCTCTATAAACCTGGAGCTTATTGAGATTTGTAATCTCACCCCTCTTCGGGGACATATTTTCAGGTGCCCAGATTCCCGGTGAGTCCTCACTAGGCAGGGACACGACACGTGGCTGAGGCAGTTGACAGATTGGATTTTGAGTGGCTGTAGGCTACTACCTTTTTGGAGTGTTTGATGTATTTTAGTATTTTCGCATTTGATGGATCATGATATTGATCCTTTATTGTGTATATGGCCTGTATATGTTTTGTACATGTCTGTCGCTTTGATGCATGTACATTTGGGTATTCAGGCACGTTATATGATGAGGTAGTATTCAGATATGTTTACGTGTTGGATTGCATGCTGTTAGATATAGTGGCACTGAGCCAAGTTATGCATGCGCCCATGGATGGACATTTGATTATATTTGTATAAACTGTTTATCAGGAAATGCTTCTGTGAGGGATTGGAAAATCCCCAGTTGTCCGATTTATAGAGGAAACTCTGCCCGATTTTCGTTTACGACGAATGAGAATTTAAAAAGAAAAAAAAAAGTTAGCTCGTATTTTCAGAAGTTAAGTCTTCCGTTGTTTTCTGTTTTATCATATGTATGTTAATTGAACCGGCTCGAGACGAGGATGTTACAGTGAACCCGTTGAAAAGGAAAGGAAATAATGGCAAACAAATTTTTTTATTTAGTAATATAAAAATAAATAAGAAGTGAAAGAAATTTAAAGAGATCAATTCTTCTTAAATAAATAAACTTTATTTCCTTTAAAATTGAAGTAGAAAAGAGGAGATACAAATATATATTACAACAGAATAATATTTTTGCAGTTACTGCAGATAAGTTATCTGTATTTACTCTCAAAACGACGTTATTTAAGGATTGAAAGATTAAAAAATTATAATTATAAAGACAATAACTCTGAAATAAATTAAAATTACAAAAATACCATGATTTCTGTCCCAAAATGACGTCGTATTGGACTTATTGCAGATAACTTATCTGCAATGACTGCAGAAAAAGAGAACCCATATTACAATTAACGATAACAATAATTCCGTTCGTTTCTTTAATATTAAACTTTCAATTAATAATTAAATTTCGTTTGTTAGAAAATTAAAGGATAACCAAAAGAAATATAACAAAGATAAAAAAGAAAATTATGATAAGATGAGAGTAGTATCTCTATTAAATTATATATTCAAGCTTTGTATATTAATTCTATTTATAGTTTTTCAGCCATCATGAAGTAAATAATAAAATTTAATCATTCTAATTACACAAAATTAGAAGTTACACATTTTGGTACCTTTTTATGGATTACGGATATTGTATTAATAATATTTCTAACGTTCTTTCATTTTTTTATTATTTTTTTAAGGGAAAATTATTTGTCCTTTTAAAAGATGTAAGGTTATATCATTTTAATTTAGGGGAAGATATACAAACCACAAAAAAAAATGTTTATCACTGTTACAGTCAATTTAATCTCTGTTGATTTCCGTCAATCTAACGATTATAATTTATTTTGAATTAATAATTAATTAATAAATGTGACACAATATTATTAATTTTCAATAAATTATAATTGTTAGATTGACGAAAATTAAAATAAAAAAGGAAAAAAAAAATAGAAAATCTCAGACAAGATTCTAAAAAAAAATATGTTCATCGAAATTAATACACCCGGAAAAAGAGGCACACACGCGCTATCACAGACTTGTTAGCTTTAGCACAAAAATAAAATAAAATAAGATAGAAGCATAAACAAAAGAAAAAGATTTGGCGTGTTTTTGTTTTGATAGCCCTCATTAAGATCCTGTTTGACAGGAACAACAAAGCACACAGTCACACTGACACCGTTGATTCATAAAAAAACTAGAGTTCAAAAAAAATCAAATCAAATCAGAATGTTAGCAATCAAGAGCAACTGTTGTTCTTGGTTTATTATTTTTGTTTTTCGATTATTAATATTCAAACAATTCAAGAGCAATCTTGAATCTTTTCAAATCCTTATAGATTTTATTTTTATTTTTATCAAGATAGATTCAAAATTTGTTCAAGATAGAATCCTTATGCCTTCTCATTACTTGACTCTCACGGCTTTTTGGTTCAAGAGAGAGAGGTATAAAGATAGAGTCCAAATTGATTCTTTGGCGAAATCCTAATTTCTTTTTCTTCTTCTTCTTCCTCTCTAGCGGGTTCTGCGATTTTTAGGGTTTGTGAAGCAAAGAGAAAAGTTTCGATCTTTGATTGGTTTTCGTCGATGGAGGGCGAGGCCGGTTCGGAGGGAGACAATAAGCGGAAAAGGGGTGGCGCAGATGATAACAGCAACGACAATAATGGAAGCAATAGCAAGATTGCGAATTCCAATGAGGGGCAGAGCAAGCCCAAGCGCCAGATGAAGACCCCCTTTCAGCTTCAAAATCTCGAGAAAGCTTATGCTTGTTCGTCCCTTATGCTTACTCCTTCGTTCTTCAATTTCACAATTCTCAATTTTTTGTGTGTTTATTTGTTGGTTTTTTATTTGCAGTAATTTTTTTTTTAATTGGAAGAATTTTTGTTTCTTTTTGGTTAATTTTGTGATTTTGTTTGGTTAGTGGATACTTATCCTTCGGAGGCGATGAGATTAGAGTTGTCGGAAAAGTTGGGGTTGTCGGATCGGCAACTGCAGATGTGGTTCTGTCATAGGAGGTTGAAGGACAAGAAGGACTTGCCTTCCAAGAAACGGCCGCGGAAGGTGGCAGCAGAGCCTTTGCCAGATTCCCCCACAGATGACATGAGGTTGGACCCTGAACTTGGCAATGAGTATGGATCCGGGTCGGGTTCGGGGTCCAGCCCGCTTACCCGTTCTGAGTCCCGGAATGCGATGCCCCGTTATTATGAGTCCCCTCAGGCTGGAATGGAGCGTAGAGCAATTGCTTCTGTGGAGGCACAGTTAGGGGAGCCGTTGAGGGAAGATGGACCCATTCTAGGAGTAGAGTTTGACCCATTGCCACCAGATGCATTTGGGGCACCCATAGGTATAATCATAGAACTTGTGTTCCTATTATCTTCACTTATTGGGTTAACTGATTGTTGCAGTTTCTTTAATATGTTTTGTTGTACATTTTGTAACTCCTAAATTACCTTGGCATGCCTGAATTGTTTATCTTCCTTGCATTTCTCATCTACTCAGGCATCATGAAAATGTTATTGACTGTAGTGGCTCTATCTGGCATAGATATGTTTTCTATTTCATTTGGATAAATTTTCTTTTGTGGCTCTGCTGTCCATCTCTAGGGCTCTGCTTCTTTGTGATTAAAAGAAGTTGCTAGAAACAATACTACTGTGGTATTTGTTGTTTGTGTCTTTGTGATGGCTGCATGCACCATTGTTTGGCTACTGACACTTCTGGCATGTGATTTTTGGTGCAGCAGTTACAGAACAGCGGAAGCGACCTAGTCTTGCCTATGACAGTAAAATATATGATAGGCATGATATGAGAGCAAATAAGGTTGGTTTTCACATCAAGTATCTTGGTCAATAAAATGAACCTAGTCTTGAGCTGCATGTGCAACATATCTTTATTGGTAACTAGTTGGAGATAGCTATGATGATGGAGTAGCTTTTTTACATGCTTGTTCTTCATGTCAGTGTACAAATGTGTATTCCTTTAGTTCTTATGCTATTTGGTGCTTTGGGCTTTTACCTCTTTCTAAATGACCTACTAGTAGTACCAGCTTGAAACAAGATACACGAACTTCTTTTTAATTGTTTATATATATGGACTTTTTTTCTTAAACATTTTTATTTAGATGCTAATCTTGTACAAGGAAAATGGAAAAAGGAAAACGGTGGGTAAGGTTGGCGGTGGTCATTTTAGATTTAGGTGTTAGCTTGCTAAGTTAGTATATCTGTGATATTGATTTTTTAAAGTGTCTTTTTCCCTGTCTTGACATGCAGATTATCTTTTTAAATGCTCTTTCGGTACAAATAATCTTCCATTTATATTTTCTTCAACAGTTTGAGGAACTGGAAAGCCTGCAGTTATTATTTGTTTAATTTTTTTTATATTCTGTTGCTATATATTTTTTACTGCTTAGTTGCTTTATATGAGAGTTTGATTTGAAATGAGCTCCATTCTAGGCTTTGGCAAGGACATTCCATGAATATCAATTTCTACCAAACCAGTCTGGCATTAGGACTGATGCTTTTGGACAGTTCAGCCAACCTCATTTACATGATCCAATGGAGGGTCCTGCCAGAAACCCTCCTTTTGTTCTTGGAAATGAACAGCCACCTAGAATTCATGCTACCAAAGGTCATTCTTCTCGTTCACAACAAGACAAGCAAGGGATTCCCTATCAGTCTCCTCCTGGAGATAAAGATGATGCCCCCCAAACGGAATTATACACAAACATAGCTAATATCGGAATGAACTCTCACTTTACTGATCACCAAATTGTTGGGCCAGAAAGTCCCTCTGCTTTACCTAGTGGACAAGTTTTGCCTAACAATATGCGGATCGAGAAGAAACGAAAGGTATCTTTTAGCTATCTGGAGTAATTAATGTTGTAATTTTTCTCAGTGTTAACTCTTGGATGTATTTAATATATTCTTTGCGGTGGATGATTTTATAATTTTAACTATATTTATATAGAGTGATGATGCCAGAATTACAAGGGAAGTTGAAGCCCATGAGATGAAGATCCGAAAAGAGCATGAGAAACAAGATAACCTTAGACGAAAGGTTTTATTGAAATCAATTTAGTTTAGCCTGCTATCACATTTTTTATAGAGGTTAAAATGAATCACATTGACATTTTTTTTTAATTAATCCCTCCTTTTCCCTCTCTTTTTTAGAGTGAAGAGCGAATGAAGAAAGAGATGGAGAGACAAGATCGTGAAAGGAGGAAGGAAGAAGAGAGGTTGATGCGTGAGAGACAACGTGAAGAGGAAAGAACAAAACGTGAGCAAAAACGTGAAATTGAACGAAGGGAAAAGCATTTGCTGAAGGAAAATTTAAGAGTAAGTTTGTAAGCCTAATGATGATAGCCTTCTTTTGGCTAATATTTAGACATCTGATGATTTTTTTTTTCTTTTGGTATATTGAGGGTATTTAATGTATTTGCCACATATTCTATCTTAAAAAGGCTGAGAAATTGAGGCAAAAAGAAGAGCTTCGCAAAGAAAAAGAGGCAGAGAGAAGGAAAGCTGCCCTTGAGAAGGCAACTGCCCGTAGAATGGCTAAGGAATCTATGGAACTTATTGAGGATGAACAGCTGGAATTGATGGAGTTGGCTGCCTCAAGCAAGGGGTTTTCCTCTATTATACGTCTTGATTTTGATACTTTGCAAAACCTTGAATCATATAAGGGTGAGCAATTTATTTTTATTTCGCTTTCTATAATTTTACATAATTGGTTTCTTTGGGTATTCGGTGTTTATATGGAAATGCTGAAAAGGGAATTAGTTTCTAGCACTGAAACCTTATCATTGTATTGTAGATTCATTGTGTCTTTTCCCACCCAAGAGTGTAAAGCTAAGAAAACTATTTGCTATACAACCCTGGATCAACTCTGAAGAGAATGTTGGTAACCTGCTCATGGTATGTTCTCATCATTACTTTTTCTTCTTTATAAAATACATAGCATATAAAATCCTTGTGTTACCATGCATCATGTCCTCTGCTCTGGTCCTGTCAGAACTTTTTTTGGGGGGTTGGTGGACTTGTTTAAGGTATCTGACGGTCGTCTAACTTTACAGTTCTTTATGATTTGAAATAGTAGGTGTATGCTTGTATGAGATAGTTAAGGTTGTCTAAGTTTGGTAAACATGGGTCTTTCCTTAGTTTGATATTTTATCTAGTCATGATATTGCATTAAAAAATGCTTTTAGTGTGTGGAGCTTGTTTGTTGAATCAGCACTTCTGTGGATGTACTAATTTCCTGTCTGCATATTGCTTTATCAGTTTTATTCTTAGTTTAGCTAATTGCTTGAAACAAGGCTTCTGAATTTAAAATTTGAGAGCTGTGGTGGTCTATTTCAGGTTTGGAGATTTTTGATTACTTTTGCTGATGTTCTGGAGTTATGTTCTTTTACTCTCGATGAGTTTATGCAAGCAATTCACGACCATGTGCGTTGGTCTGGCCTTTGCTAGTGATTTCATGCTATCAGTTTAGCTATTTTCTCACATTCTTTTTGCTCATTTTTATCTTAGGATTCAAGACTGTTGGGTGAGATACATGTTGCTCTTCTTAAAGTGATAATAAAAGACATTGAGGATGTTGCAAGGACACCTTCTACAGGATTAGGAATGAATCAGAATGGTGCTGTTAATTCTGGAGGTGGCCATCCAGAGATTGTGGAAGGGGTAAGTTCAGATATTTCTAATATTTTCTGTCCTTTTTTCAGAGAAATAACAGAGTCCAGTCCTGTAATATTGTCTTTTTTATGTTAGGCATATGCATGGGGGTTTGACAAACGAAATTGGCGTAAGCACTTAAATCAGTTGACATGGCCGGAAATTCTCCGACAGCTAGCATTATCTGCAGGATATGGACCACAGTTGAAGAAAAGAAATATTACACGGTCCTATGAAAAAGAAAAAGACGAGGTTCAATTTTCTTTATTTTGCTTTATTATATTCAGCTTCCGCTTTAAAGATTCTTGTGTTTCATGGTTACCTCCATATTTTAGTGATTTAAGAAAGAGAAATACAATTAAGATATAACTTCAGTTTGCTGGTTTCTTTTAAGCTTTTAAGTTTAACTTGATCCTTTGTATACTTTTTGTTACTATCAAATGTTTTGCTGACAATTTTTTGTTTTTCATGCATTTTAATCAACAATTAAATGTTTTTTTTGGGGTTAAGTTCATTTGCATTGAATAAGTGGATCAAAATGTATATCTAATTGCAGGGCAGAAGTTGCGAAGATATCATTTCTACACTTCGTAATGGTTCAGCAGCCGAAAATGCAGTTGCAAAAATGCAGGAGAAAGGGCTATTAGCACCTCGAAGATCTAGGCATAGGTTAACTCCTGGAACAATTAAGTTTGCAGCATTTCATGTTCTCTCGCTTGAGGGTAGCAGGGGATTGACAGTACCAGAGCTCGCAGAAAAAATTCAGGTGAGTTGCATATCCATTTTAAGTGATCTTTCATACTGTCGGGTTTTTTTCTTAACTTATGTCTCTTTACCTTTTAGAAATCTGGTCTTCGGGACCTGACAACCAGCAAGACACCTGATGCATCCATTTCTGTTGTTTTGACAAGAGATGCCAAGCTTTTTGAAAGAATAGCTCCATCAACGTATCGTGTTCTTTCTGCATTTAGAAAGGATCCTGCTGATGCTGAGTCCATTCTGTCTGAAGCAAGAAAGAAAATTCAGATATTTGAAAATGGGCTTCAAGCTGGGGAAGATGCTGATGATGTTGAAAGAGAAGCAGAGTCTGAAAGTGTTGAAGTTGATGAGGATCCTGAAGTTGATGATTTGGTAAATCCTTCAATTGCTAAAAAAACATCTGAACTGTGTGGTGATTTATCATCAAATGGAAAAGAAAATTTGGTTAATGATGTAGAACTTCAAGATGAGTTTGATAAGGACATGCCTTGTTTTCCTGAGAATGGTTCAAAGAATACTGATTGTCCAAGTACTGCCACTGGACAACCTGTTGCTTGTGAAGATCTTAGTGCTGGAAATCTTGGTGAAGATAATACGGAAATTGATGAAAGCAAGTCTGGACAATCATGGGTTCAAGGGCTTGCACAAGGAGAATATTCTGATCTCAGTGTAGAGGAGCGTCTAAATGCTCTTGTTGTTTTGGTTGGTGTGGCAAACGAAGGAAATTCAATCCGTGTTGTTCTTAAGGTAAAATTTATTTCATGTACTCTATGTCATCAAGTTGATTTTTGTATCTAGTTTATCAAATTGACTTGAAGAAATTTTTCAGGATCGTTTGGAAGCATCAAATGCACTGAAGAAGCAAATGTGGGCAGAAGCACAGACAGACAAAGTTTGTCTGAAAGATGATATTTTTAATAAATTAGATTTTGCATCTATGGGTGGCAATAAAGTTGAAACACAAGACACATGTCCTATTGTGGAGGGCCACCAAAGTCCACTGCTTGACATTAATATTGACGCTAATAATAATGAGGCATCACCCAGCACTGCAGAAAATCAAAAAGCAGCTCCTGTTGCACAGAGCCTGTCTATTGAAACGCCCTCTTCAGTTCAAGATCTCTGTACAGGTCCAGATGACCCTCAGGCTCAGCTATCTGCACAATATTCAAAAAGGTCACGATCCGAGTTGAAATCTTATATTTCCCACATAGCGGAGGAGATGTATGTCTACAGATCCTTACCCCTTGGCCAAGATCGCCGACGTAATCGATATTGGCAATTTGTTGCAACTGCTTCTTGCAATGATGGCAGGATCTTTGTTGAATATCATGATGGAAATTGGAGGCTTATTGATTCTGAAGAGGTAAAAATTTTGTTTGGTGTAGTTTATTTTTTTCCTTTCGCCCATAGGCTGATCCTTGTTTTGCTGATCAACTCATTTCTAACTTTAGCAGACGTCAAACACATTCCTCTTTTGTTTCGATTTTGTGTTTTCCATCAATATCTAACCACTTAGCAAATGCCATTAAGAAGGGTAACCTTAAAAATGTCTTAGAATATCTAGAAAATATCTCATAATATCTTTATTATATCATCTTAAATGATATTTAGGAGTGGTTTTCAGATTTTATTATATTTCCTTATTTGCTTCCTTATTCAGGATTAGGAATCTATTCCTAATTTACTAGCATAAATATGATTTAGTGCTTTGTATTTTGTATCGCCTCTAATCAATATCGATTTTAGATTATTCATTAGTTTCTTCTTTTCTATCTTTACAAGCCGCCATGGGTGTTCATTTTCAATACTAATGTCTTGCAAAACTCCATGCACTAGATGTCCAGTCCTGAGGGTGAGGGAAGTGTGTTTAGATCCCACATTGACTGACCCCTTATATTATAATGACTTGGGCAATCCTTCCCACCTTGAGCTAGCTCTTGGGGTTGACTTAGGCTCAGTCTGTTCTCAATTCTAATAATATGAATACCTTCCCCACCCTTTTATTCTCAGCAATTCTTTTGTATGCCTCTTCCAAAGTTTCATTTTTTTTTTTCTTATTTTATGGGCTAGCCAAATATGGTAATATTATTGAATCTGTGTGTCTTTTTATCTTTGGGTGCCGATATTTTGTGAATTTTATGTAACTTTATGCTTTGTCTTAAATGGTATAATATTTTTTTTTTAACCAATCCTATAACAGGCCTTCAATGCACTTTTGGATTCACTGGATTCACGTGGGATCAGGGAATCTCATTTGCGTTTAATGTTGCAGAAGATTGAAAATTCGTTTAAGGAAAATGTTCGAAAGAACACTTAGTGATTCCAGTCCTAATCCCTTCAAATCTCGTAAAGTGGTTGAACCAGAACCAGCAGATCCGGACCATGATGATTTAATGAAAGTTAAATCTCCCATGACTCCCATCCACATGGGGGCTGCTGACATCAGTAACAGTGCTGAAGAGGCTGAATCTGATGATAATGCTCAAGCAATGGAATCTGATGATAATATTCAAGCAGTGGAATCTGATGATAATGCTCAAGCAATGGAATCTGATGACAATGATCAAGCAGTGGCATATGATCAAGGAAATTGGGAGATTGGTTTTAACGGTACCCCCAACAGATGGAGTAGGCATTTGGTTAATATGAGTGGTGGAGATGTGGAAGCTTCTGAAGATGACAATGACAATGGCATTGAAGAGGAGGATTCAAAGACAGATGTTATGAGCGAGGGTTCAGATGGTATGGCTAATAGAGTTGTAAATGGAGCAGGCTCAGACTCGGCTGATTCTGAAGATTCTTCTGATTAGAACATTGGTTTTTAGTTGATCAACTAAAGGATTGCATTTCAAAGCTGCATTACATTTTTGATATTGCAGCTTTACAAAGTACTTGAACTCCTAGTCATGTCATGGCTTGAAGAGTTTTATGGTTGAGAAGACTTACATAGTATATTTTATCCATGCAGAGTGGATCCTTGTGTTTTTAAGCATTTTAAAGCCGAGGGCCTCATCTCATTTTGTTTTTTTCCTTGTCAGAGGTTAAAGTCAAGAAGGGAGCTGCTGCTCCCTTTTCTATTGTTCATTCTGATATTTGGGGTCCGAGTCGGACTATGTAAGTTTTAGGTTTTCAGTATTTTGTAACCTTTATTGATGATTTCTCCCGTTGCACTTGGGTTTATTTAATGAAAAATCGTTCTGAGTTATTTTCAATTTATCAAAAGTTTTGTGCAGAAATAAAAACTCAATTTGGTGCTTCTATTCAAATCTTGCGCAGTGATAATGCAAAAGAGTATGTGTCTCTTGAATTTTCTAAATTTCTGGATACACATGGGACGATACACCAGACTACCTGTCCCCACACTCCACAACAAAATGGAGTTGCTGAACGTAAAAATAGACATCTAGTTGAAACTGCACGTACCCTTCTTATTCATATGAACGTCCCACTCCGTTTTTGGGCAGATGCTATTATCACCTCATGTTTCCTTATCAACCGCATGCCCTCTTCTGTGCTAAATAATGATGTTCCCCACCGCATTTTGTTTTCCGGAACACCTTCTTATCCTCTGCCTTTACATATTTTTGGCTGTACTTGTTTTGTTCATGATCTTACTCCAGGTAAAGACAAGTTGACATCCAAGGCCTTCAAATGTATTTTCCTTGGGTATACACCTTTTCAAAAAGGGTATCGTTGCTATTCTCCTGATCTCAAGCGTTATATCGTTTCTGCTGATGTCACTTTCCTTGATCAGCAGCCTTTTCACTCTACTTCGTCTCCAGTGTCACAGGTTGATAAGGTCCTTCCTGTTCCTTTTCTTGACTTGTCTTTACCAGCTGCAGGTGACCCTATTCCAGAGGAGCAACCCATTAACTCCATACCTGCAGATCGTCCTCTCCTCACATACCAGCGTCGTCAGCCTGCGCCTCCTCCGACTTTGCCTCTTGATGACTCATCGTCCTTTCCCGTCGGCTCTTCTCCTCCGGATCCTCCATCAGAGACTCCTCCCATTGCCCTTCGGAAAGGTATTCGATCCACTCGAAATCCTCATCCCCTTTATTCTTTCTTGAGTTATGACAGACTTTCTTCACAACATTTTACTTTTGTTTCTAGTCTCTCTTCTGTTTCCATCCCTAAAACCACAGGTGAAGCACTATCTCATCCAGGGTGGCGCCAGGCGATGCTTGATGAAATGCAGGCACTTCACTCCAATGGCACTTGGGATCTTGTTCGTGCTCCTCCCGGGAAGTCTGTTGTTGGTTGTCGATGGGTGTTCACAGTTAAAGTTGGTCCTGATGGCACTGTTGATCGCCTTAAAGCTCGCTTAGTGGCAAAGGGATACACGCAGATCTTTGGTCTTGATTATGGGGATACCTTTTCTCCTGTTGCTAAGATGGCTTCTGTTCGCCTATTTCTTGCCCTTGCCGCCATTCATCACTGGCCCCTTCTCCAACTTGATATTAAGAATGTTTTTCTACATGGTGACTTGCAGGAGGAAGTTTATATGGAGCAACCACCAGGTTTTGTTGCTCAGGGGGAGAGTTCTGGAGTGATATGTAAACTTCGGAAATCTTTATATGGCCTGAAGCAATCTCCTCGGGCCTGGTTTAGCCGCTTTAGTTCAGTTGTTGAATCCTTTGGCTTAATCAGAAGCAAAGCCGATCATTCTGTCTTTTACCGGCATAGCTCTTCTGGCCAGTGCGTTTATCTTCTGGTCTATGTTGATGACATTATCATTACAGGCAGTGATCAGACCGGGATTGATCAGTTGAAAGAGCATTTATTCAATCAATTTCAGACCAAAGATCTTGGCAGACTTCGATATTTCTTGGGGATCAAAGTTGCACAGTCTAGGCGGGGCATTTCCATCTGTCAGAGGAAGTATGCACTGGATATCCTAGATGAGACGGGCATGTTAGGCTGTAAACCCATTGATACACCTATGGACCCCAATGTTAAGTTATTACCAGGACAGGGGGAGCCACTGCCAGATCCTAGTCGCTACCGCCGACTAGTTGGAAAATTGAATTGTCTTACTGTGACAAGGCCAGATATCTCCTTCGCAGTGAGTGTTGCAAGTCAATTTCTTGATTCTCCCTGTGACTCCCATTGGGATGCAGTTATTAGAATTCTCCGATATATTAAAAAGGCGCCAGGAAGAGGTTTATTATATACAAATAAAGGGAGTTCAGAGATCTCTAGTTATTCAGATGCTGACTGGGCAGGTTCTCCTTCAGATAGACGATCCACCTCAGGGTATTGTGTCCTCTTAGGAGGAAATTTGATCTCTTGGAAGAGTAAGAAGCAAACTGTGGTCGCCAGATCCAGTGCGGAGGCAGAATATCGGACAATGGCAAATGCAACCTGTGAGCTCATCTGGTTGAGACAATTGCTTAAGGAACTCCATCTCTGTGAACAAAGGCCTATGAAGCTCATTTGTGACAACCAAGCCGCTTTGCATATATCCTCTAACCCAGTCTTTCATGAGAGGACCAAGCATATAGAAATTGACTGTCATTTTGTTAGAGAAAAGATCCAGTCAAGGGAGATCGAGACAGCATTTGTCAATTCCAATGATCAACTTGCGGATGTATTCACTAAAGCTCTTAGAGGTCCCCGAATAGATCATATTTGTAACAAGCTGGGAGCTTTTGATATATACGCACCAGCTTGAGGGGGAGTGTTAGAAATAATATTAATTTATTATTATTAGAATAGTCCAGATTGTGGGCTTGGCCCATTAGGTCATCCCATTAGGTTTTGTAGTCTCTATAAATAGAGAGCCTCCTTGTACAAATTACATACACTTGAATATACAATATATTTCAGATTCAATTATTACTTCATTGCGCACAAAGTCGATTACTGATATAATTGTCCATTTGATTTTCCTTACTCTATTTACAATTTAACAATTCTGCATAGCTCTTTTAATTAAATGCTTGGTTGAGAGGTTCTTTCTTTAGTTATTTGATGTTGTTTATCTTTCCCATTTAGTGCATGGAGCGGTTCATAACCGGTTTTAACAAAAATCGAACCGAACCAGTTTTAAATGGTTTGGTTTTCAAACTGAACCGATTTTCTTCTTTTAAAACCGGTTTTTAATTTTCTAAACCGGTTTGAAACCGGTTCCAAAACCGGTTTGTGGTTTATAACCGGTTTTGATTTAAAACCGGTTTTAATTCAAAACCGGTTTTAAATCTGTAGAAAATCAGAATTCTAATATGTTTTCGTTTTTATTTCCTATTAATTAGGATTGATTGTGATTGATTAGAATTGATTGTGATTAGGATTGATTAGTCATCGCTGAGTCATTCTTAGCGATTCTTTCTTGTATAAATACACACTCATGTAATTTATTCAATTATCAATATACATAAACCTTTTTCAATACGGTATCAAGAGCGGGTTCGTTCCTACCCTAAATCAGCCACCTTCAAGGCTGAAACCATCCCAAAACCACCCAAACACAATCCCACCTAAACCCAAATCCCAGAAAACCATACCTACAGACCTCCAATCGAGAAGGTGGAGGTACCATTCAACTCAGAAGGCTCCGACGAGTTGAATGCAGCCAGACCCGTCGCCGTCACGCGCCGCCACACGCCACCACACGCGCGGCCCCTCTCCGGCGCGTGTAGTCCACGCGTCGCCTTCCTGGACTCCTTTTCCGGCACGAGCTTCCCAGATCACCTCGTCGGCCTCCTCCAGTGGTCAGATATCAAATCGGAGAATTTTTTTTTTTTTTTTTATGGGTCCACGGTCAAACCTTCACTTTCTATTCATGGCTTCCTTGAATCGTTCTTCCGCCTCCTCATCTGCCCCAAATTCTCAGCCCTCTGGAGACAACTTAGGTTTGCAGATCACTAATCACCGGTTGAACGGTAAGAATTTTCTGCAATGGTTTCAATCGGTTAAGTTGGTCATCCGGGCAAAGGGTAAGATGGGCTATCTCGAGGGAAAAATTAAGAAACCTACTGAGGATTCTCCTGATTATGACGATTGGGAGATTAATAATTCCTTTGTCATGGCTTGGCTGACTAATTCCATGGAACCACAGATTGGCCAAACCTATCTGTTCTTCGATACTGCCAAGGAAATTTGGGATGCTGTTCAAAAAAATTACTCAGATCTGGAGAATACCTCTCAAGTCTTTGAACTGAGAAATAAGTTGAGAGACTTTCGTCAAAGGGGTATGACTATTATTGAATATTTTACTGCACTAACAAATTTATGGCAGGAATTGGATCTTTATTATGCATCCGATCTTAAGGGATTGGAAGCTAATACCCAATTTAAAAAACACTTGGAGAAGGAAAGACTGTATGATTTCTTTGCCGGACTCAACCGAGATCTTGATGAGGTTCGTGGTCGAATATTGGGGCAGCGACCGTTACCTTCACTTGCTGACGCCTTTGCTGAAGTTCGTAGAGAAGCCAGTAGACGAAGAGTTATGCTGGGAGAAAAGGAGTCGCTTGATAAGTCTGATGATATGTCTGCATTAGCTGCCAACCGTACCATTGACCGTTCCTCTGGAGAATCAAAACGGGATGGTCGTCCATGGTGCACCTACTGCAATAAAATTGGTCATACCTGTGAGAAATGTTGGGAAATCTACGGGAAACCTACAAATTGGAAGCCCAAAGGACAAAATAAAGGTCGTGCATATCAGGTCTCTACTGATGACAAGGTTGATGAGCCTCATGCATCCTCTGACTCTGATGGTGTCTTTCTTAGCAAGTCTCAGTTTGAACAACTTCAGAGACTTTTGACTCAACCTCCTAAGGCCACTAGTAATGTGGTCCAGCAAGGTACAACTTTCCATGTTGATAGTCAAAATCATTGGATCCTTGATTCTGGAGCCTCTGATCATATGACAGGTAATCTTGGCTTGTTTTGTTCATACACTCCATATTCTGAACCTTCTCGGGTCAAGATCGCCGATGGCAGTTTTTCCCAGATTGCGAGACACGGAACCATTAAACTTTCTGAGCTGATTAATTTGACATCAGTTCTTTATGTTCCTTCTCTGGCTTGTAATCTCATTTCCATTAGCAAGCTAACTTCTGAGTTGCATTGCTTTGCTAAATTCTTTCCACATGGTTGTGTTTTTCAAGAACAGGACTCGGAGAGGATGATTGGCAGTGCTAGAGAGGATGGTGGACTTTACTACTTTGAGGAGGATGTGACTAATGAAGCTGGTTTCGTAGGAAAAAACTCTATGTTTCCTTTTGATTCATGTAATGATGTTATGCTGTGGCATCGTAGGCTAGGCCATCCAAATTTTATTTATCTTCAGAAGTTGTTACCAAACTTATTTATTAATAAAAGTCCTAGTTTGTTTTCTTGTGATATTTGTCAACTTGCCAAGCATACTCGTGCTCATTATCCTTCTAAAGTTCACCATGACTCTTCCCCATTTTCCTTAATTCATAGTGACATATGGGGTCCAGCCCGTGTTAAAAATATTTCAGGTACTCGATGGTTCATTACCTTCATTGATGACCATTCCCGAGTCTGTTGGGTATATCTTTGGGGAGAGGCAGTTCTCACTGCCTCGTATCTGATAAATCGAATGCCATCTCGCATTCTAAAGTTTCAGTCTCCTCTTTCTAGTCTTTTTCGTACCTTCCCTTCCTTCCGAGGTGTCTCCTCCTTACCTCTCAAGTTATTTGGTTGCGTTGTATTTGTCCATATTCCCTCCCATCAACGGTCTAAGCTTGATCCCAAGTCTCTCCAGTGTGTCTTTATTAGTTATTCTCCTACTCAACGTGGCTATAAGTATTATTCACCCTCTCTTCCTAAGGTCTTTTTCTCTATGGATGTCACCTTTTCTGAGAATGACCATTTCTTCCCCTTGACTTCTCTTCAGGGGGAGTCTATAGGAGTAGATGAATATCAGACATGGGAACCTACTGATGCCACAGTATTACCTCTACTTTTGGAAACAGGGGGAGCTACAGAATCCTCACCATCAGGAGCCTCCTCAAAATGGGGACAAGTTTATAACAGGCGAAAGCCTCCTCAAAGTGTGAATAACCCAGAGCCTCTACACTGCCAAGATTCTGAACCATGTTCTAGTTCCAGCACCCCAACACTTGAGTGTCATGGTGAAAATGATCTACACTTGCCCATTGCTCTCAGAAAAGGTACTTGATCTTGTACTACTCATCCTATTTCTAATCATATTTCATATGGAAAGTTGTCCCCAGGGTTCCGTGCTTTCAATACTATGTTGGATAGTACAAAGATACCGAGAAATATACATGAGGCTCTTGATGATAAAAAATGGAGGGATAATGTCTTTGAAGAAATGAATGCTTTAGAAAAAAATGGAACTTGGGAGATAGTGACCCTACCCAAGGGAAAACAGGCAGTAGGATGCAAATGGGTGTTTACAATAAAATTCAATGCAGATAATAGCATCAACGGATACAAGGCAAGATTGGTTGCAAAGGGTTTCACTCAGACTCATGGGATAGATTATCATGAGACTTTTGCTCCGGTTGCTAAAGTCAATACCATCCGAGTTCTCTTATCTCTTGATGCCAACCTAGATTGGCCTCTGCAACAGTTAGATGTGAAGAATGCATTCCTAAATGGTAGTCTACCTGGTTTTGAAAAGTGAAATGGATCAGTGCGTAAACTAAAAAAGTCTCTATATGGATTGAAACAGTCTCTCAGAGAATGGTTTGACAAATTCACACAAGCAGTCAAAAGAAGAGGCTTCATTCAAGCACAGACTGATCATACTCTCTTCCACAAACACTCTTTTCTGGTTTACCCCAACATTCCCCACTAAGGATGGTAAAATTGCTATTCTTATTGTATATGTAGATGATATAATTCTTACAGGTGATGATATTGAGGAATTGAACACCTTGAAGAAATTTCTAGCAGCTCAATTTGAACTCAAAGACCTTGGCACTCTCAAATATTTCCTTGGTATGGAAGTTGCTAGGAGCAAAACAGGCATCACTCTCACACAAAAGAAATATGTTCTAGATCTTTTGTTGGAAACAGGAATGTTAGGGTGTAAACCTGCTGAGACACCTGTGGAACCTAATACCAAGTTAGGTATTGAAGATGGGAATGGGGTGGATAAAGAACAATATCAGCGATTGGTTGGTAAACTAATTTACTTATCTCATACGCGTCCTGACATTGCCTTTGCCGTGAGTATGATTAGTCAATTCATGCACTCACCCAAGGAGAAGCATCTTAGTGCAGTCTATAGGGTGCTTAGATACCTCAAGAACACTCCAGGAAGAGGATTATTCTTTAAAAAGGGGTATAAAAGGACAATTGAAATCTACACTGATGCAGATTGGGCAGGCTCATCAGTAGACAGGAGATCTACCTCAGGCTATTGCACCTATGTGTGGGGAAATCTTGTTACTTGGAGAAGCAAAAAGCAAACAGTGGTTGCAAGAAGTAGTGCTGAAGCAGAATTTCGAGCTTTAGGTCATGGAGTTTGTGAAGGAATCTGGTTGAGAAGACTTCTTCAAGAGTTGAAGATTTCATATTCCCTACCAATAAAAATATATTGTGACAACAAGGCAGCTGTTAGCATTGCTCAAAATCCTGTGCATCATGATCGAACAAAGCACGTGGAAGTTGATTGTCACTTCATCAAAGAAAAATTAGATGATGGAAGTGTGCGTATGATATATGTTCCAACCAAAGAGCAAACTGCAGATATTCTTACCAAGGGCCTACACCGTCCAGCATTCGAAGACTTGATTGGCAAGTTGGGAATGATCAACATTTACCTCCCAACTTGAGGGGGAGTGTAGAAAATCAGAATTCAAATATGTTTCCGTTTTTATTTCCTATTAATTAGGATTGATTAGTCATTCTTAGCGATTCTTTCTTGTATAAATACACACTCATGTAATTTATTCAATTATCAATATACAGAAACCTTTTTCAATAAAATCAAAACCGGTTATGAACCATAAACCGGTTATCAAGTTCAAAACTCGTTTTTTAACATATTATAATTTGTGACTTTTCTATAATATGTTGCTCTTGTTTTTGGTATCTCCTTCCTAATTCATTCATTATTTGATCCCACAGCTCGAAGGGCCTACACTGTTGAAGCACGGGTTCAATGATGCAATTGCTAAAGTAGGTATGGTCAAGTTCATCACAGATCTCTTCTGGGTTGGGATGTTTTACCACCTGTACAACCAGGTAAATCCTTCTTTTCTATGTGATAGTTTAAACTTTTGATGAGTTTGAAATATACTAAATAACTTGTTTCAATTCATTTATTTATTTATGGCCTGTTCCTACCTGGGTGAAGGAGTTTCTTATTGTTGTTCATCTGTTTAATTCTTATTGGAGAAACACAATTTCTTTTTGTGAAGTGGCAATGATATATATATATATCTACATTTTTCATCACCAGGTGGCGACTAACACACTGGAGAGAGTGGCTCCTCTCACTCATGCAGTTGGCAACGTACTGAAACGTGTATTTGTGATTGTATTTTCAATTTTAGTCTTCGGTAAATATCGTTTTCTTCCATACTGCTGTACTTCAAAGTTTCACGAATGTTTATTCATTTGCTTTTAGATTTCCATGCCCTTAAAGAAAAAGTTATATTCCTGAGATTCTAACGTTCTGACTGGCTAATTGCTTCACACAGGTAACAAGATTTCCACCCAAACTGGTATTGGAACAGCCATTGCTATTGCAGGAGTGGCAATCTACTCGCTCATCAAAGCCAGGATGGAGGAAGAGAAGCGAGAGAGTCTTGTTTCAATTGTTTTTTTACCACAACTGCATATTAAATTGGTTGAAACTTTAAAAGTTAATTTGCTTTGGCAAGTCACAAATAAACCACTTTTGGGCATATATGTTTTTAAACGGTGTACTTTTGAATGGATTTTACCTTGGTCTTCAAAATGCATTAGGCAATATAGCAATACACAAATAAAATTGACAAATTTTTCTTTTTGTTCTCTTGACAGCAAGCGAAAGCAGCATAAGAAGAAAGAGGCGTCAACTTGGAGGATGTCTTGAACTGTAAATCATCATAAATTTCCTTCAAAATAATTGGGTGACTGGTTCAGTATTGTACTATCCTTCGGATAGCCTTTTATTTTTCCTTTTCTTTTTCCGGTCAAATCTTTTTTTTTTCCCTTGTTCATTCAGAAAACAATGACTTGCTGATTTGCAGTCTTCTCATGTTTGACCAAAAAAATGTTGTATCCATGATTCCCATAAAGTGCTCTTAAGACTATTATGAAATCTGAAAAGATGGTCAACAATCAACATTTAAGACATAACTGCATTTCGAGGTTCTTTTTCAGAGCCTACTGGGCCAATTAATCTTTTATTTGGTATAGTGGATGGGGCAAAAACTAATGTAAATGGTGGATTCAACAGTTAAGTTCCAAAATTAAAGGCTTTAGGGGAAGATATTGTAGCACGTCACCATAAGAAATCCATGGCAACCACTAGCGATGTATAAAAAATCTAAAATAACTGAACCACATCAAGAACCACACCAAACTGAACCAAAATAACCGGTTTTTTTAAAATTGGTTCGGAAAGTTGAACCGGTTCTATTATTTAAAACAATCCAATTCAGACCCATTTCAAAACTGGATTTTAAGCAGGTCGAACCAAACCAACCCATTTACATAACATAACTCAATGACTCATCGATCTCGTTCCTAATCGAAGCATATTTTTGCTCAGCTCATGAACCCTAAGTTCACCGTCTCAATCATTTCTCAATCTCGCTGCTCGTTCTCATCGAATTGGTAACGGTGGTGGCTTGTGGCTTAGCGTTCTCAATCATTTTTCATTTCTCTTCAGATTTTTATTTTTGCTTTTTGTTTTGTTTCACTTGTGTGTTTTCCTATGTATCATCAACCATGAACCCCTTTAAGGTCTTTGCGCGGTGGCTATTTTCTTTGGATACTTTAAATGGCTATTAACCCCTTTTTTAAAATGCGATCTTCTTTATGCAGGACTTGAAATTCTGGCATTTCCATGCAATTAGTTTGGGGCACAGGAGCCAGGAACCAATGAAGAGATAGCCAGGAACCAATCAGTTTGGGGCACAGTATGGTTCAAAGCTGAGTTTCCCATTTTCGACAAGGTAGGAGAACTAACTCTTAAATGGATCACTATTAAGAAAACAAAT